CCAAATATACCACAAGGTTAGAGACATATGCTACTTGCATTCAAAAGTATGGAACATTAAACAACAAGCATGGATTGTCCTCCCATCTAACAAATATGCTATCACTACACTACAATTAAGCTAATGACATGAAATTAAACTAATTAAGCTAAGGGAGAGGCACAATCCATCAAGAAATGAGCATGGACTATCTAGAAAATCACAAGAGCATTCCTTTAAGCACTATGTTTTGACAATCTCTAGATCTATAGCCTTAATACACATAGACATGCATCAACAACACAAGAAATAGAGACAAACACATGAACATCTATTCTAGCATACATAGACATATGGATAGAATGAAATGATCAATTGGAAGCATTAAACCACATAAATCATTGAATAAACAAAATCTATATATATAAAAGTGCCAAAACATGCATTACAACACTAATCCCTCAATAATACACAAAATCAAGATATAGAAAGCATGTTTGGGGCTAACTCTAGCCCCAAGAGGATGTCTAGCCACTCATGGTAGTGCTTCTCCAACCCTCAAGGGCTAACTCCATGGTAGAGATTTGCTCCTTGGTTGATGAAAAGTCTCCAATGGTGTCTCTAGCCTCCTCCTCCTCTAAGCTTGCTCTTCAAGAGATGGTATGATATGGTATGATGTATGATGTATAATTAGCTCTTTTGTAAAAAACAATCCTTATCCTTATATAGGTATGTCAAATGACACCCAAAATGAGCTGGGGTCGTGCATACAATATTCCCCAATGATTGGATAAAAGACAACTTTCAATGAACTGAAAATTTAACTTTTTCGCACTGGAGGAAGTTCGATCGATCGAACCTTGGACTTGGATTGATCGAACATGGCTGAGATCCATCGAACTTATGCTGGATCGATCTTCATTGGTGGCGCTTTTTGGATAAAGACAAATCTGAGATATTTTGAAGATATTTTTGGGAAAAGACAAAAGTGGTTGGTAGAGTGGCACAACTAGATAAGATCAATCATTTGGATAAGGACAAAGCAGTTCGATTGATTGAAGAATGATGTTGGATCGATCGAACTTTTGAGATCTCTGAAAATGTCATTATGGCTCTAATCCATCTTGAAGTGCTGAGATCGATCATGTTGGATCAATTGAACTTTGATCTGAGATCGATCGAAGATGTTGATTTCCACCTTTTTCTTCCTTTTCCTTCCACTTGGCTTCTTTCTTTAATTTATCCCAGAATTGCTTCATTTCTGCTCTTATTTGGCCGAGTTAGCTTATTTTCGGGATAAATGCCTGAAAATAGAAATAATACGAAATCAATCTAAAACGGTAAAGTAAGATAGATAAAGGTACTAGAATGCTTAAGCTTAAGGGGTTTAAATACGCACTTTTCAGCACTCATCACTCCGTCTTCTCCGACGCCGGCTAATTTCTGACTTTCTGATCATCTGTCCTCCATTCCTAAAGTTCCTAGGTGTCTAAAACTAGGTCCAGTGTGTTCCAGAAAATATTAAATTCATTATGCATCAATTAACATCAACTAAATCATGAATTACACAATAAAGATTTAAAACAAACAATTACTAATTTATGAACACATACCGATTTAATCAAATCTAACATGCAAACCAGATTAATCATTAATATTTATTTACTCCTGGAGTTGTATTAGGCATGTAAAGAACACGAGCCCAAGGAAAAGAGTTAGGAGTAGAACTTGCCTTTAGGTCTCAGTTTGAAACCTTGCACTGTCTTCCCAAACTGTTTCCGGCGATTCCTATTGTTCGCAACTCCTCTGTTTCTCTCTGCCTCCAATATGTGAATAGGGTTCTAAAAACCCTTGGCAGACCAATACTAGTATATATATATATACGTCTAAAACCCTAAGTCTAATCCTACTTAGAGAAGGAAAAGAATACTAAACATATCCCTAAGTCGGCTAACCCATAAGACCATAAAACATAAAACCCTAATAAAAATTTAATAATTAATAAAACTAATTAAATCAATTAAACCAATCAAGTCATTTAAATAAAATAAATACTACAATTACCATGAAATAATTAAAACAATGGATTCAAGTAAATAAAATAAATAATACCATTAAGTCAATTAAATCACCACAATTAAAACAATTAAACAAATTAGTAAATAAAATGCCAAATAATCAAATAAAATGCCATAAAATAATAATTAAAATGCCGAGACTATCCTTTTAAAATTAGGGGTATTACAGATCTTTTTAGTTGCATTTTGTGCGGTACTTAGAACACGACTTTAGAACGGGTTCATATATATTTCATGGCAAGGTGCCCTTGTTATGTGTGAGTTTCATGTGTTGGTGTATGGGTTCTGGTGATCGTGGAGGTCAAGTGTACGAGTGAGGGTTTCGGTATGACCTTAAGAGGTCAATGTTTCTAACTTAAGTCACGGTTTGGTGTGGAGGTTCTATTTGAACCGGTCGTGGTAGGTGTGACGGGGGTTGTTTGAGTCACGAATGTAGTCTATGGATTGTAAATGTGTATTTCGAGCATTTTGGAACGGCTTAAGGAAATGTGTTGGTTTTGACTGTCGTGGGAACTTGTTGGATTCTGTAAGTCTATGGTGATTTAGGACCGGTTACAAGATGTAGACCATTTCATAGTCTTGAAGGAGTCTGTTTTAAAGATTGGTTTGTCGAGGAGTGATTCTCATTTCGGAGAGTTACAGGGGTGTGCTATGGGTAATCGACTCTCGGTAAGTCGGTTGCATGGCTCGGTCGATGAGTGGGGTTCTGGATTGGCGTGGCTATCTAATCTTGAGGTGGTGTATAGCGGTTACTTTTAGATGTGTAGTGCAGGATTGCACAATAAGGTAAGTAATAGGGGTCATTGGAGTATTTGGTTGTTTGCAGATGAAGTGATAGCTGGTGAGTATTGTGCTATCAAATAAATTGTGTTCTAGAATTTGAAAGTTGTGGATTAGGGTTGTATTTCAGATTGCATCTGGAGTATCAGGAGATAGTGCATGTTGTTTGAGGATTCGAAGAGATAGACTAATGATTGGAGTGATTGGGACGAGATTGATCTTATAGGTTAGTTGGTAGCCCCATTTGATTTTTTTGTCGGGGCCAAGGATGTTTTAAGGAACGGGAATAAGGAAAAGTAACGATGTTGAACTTAGGGTATGAAGTTTTCTTGTTTAGATGTGTAGATCATTTAGAAAGAGTGGTTTGATGTTGTCGGTTAAGCGTTAATGATTGATGGCATCGTTGATAGTATTGAGGTGACAATTGGGTGTTGAGTATTTTGAGATTTATGCTCATTTTGTTTTGAGGGTTTATAGGCATGACATTGTCGTATGGAGGTTCTTTTCTAATGGTAAATAATGACCATCCACCACAAGTTTTGACGAGATTGGATATTTATATTTTGTAAATCTTAACTATTCTGTAAAACTATAGTATAATTTGTATAATGTTGTAAATTATAAACTTTTGATTTCAGCTGTATTTCATGAACTGTAAATTGATGTAATTAGAGTATGTTCCTTGTAAAAGAGTATGGGACTAGGTAGTGGGCTAGCGCTTCTATGTTTTTGTGAAGGAATTGGAGGAACATGACTCTTTTTATATGTGTGTTGTTGTTTTGGGAATATTTTATATTATTTGTATTGTGTGTAGGAACATGTTAGATAAGTTTTGAAGGTCCAAGAGATGTCATTGCATTTTTATGCATTTAAGCAGGTTATTGTAGGACCCTTTTTAGCAGAGTTCATGCCGAATTTTTTTTTTTTTTTTATAATTGGTATCATTTTAGAGTCGTTACAATCTTGTTGAAAAAAAACATTTTAAGTTAAAATTCTTAAATAAAATAATATTACAAGATACAAATAAAATTTTGGATGATGAATAGAAAGAATAACTATAAATGTACATAGATATTTGTTTTCCGCCAAAAGAAAAAGAAGATCAGAAATAAGCAATAACAATCTATCCTGCAATCAACAAATCATCTATCAAATCATGTGAACCAGATTTTATATAATTTGGTGTACTTTAAATAAAAATAATGATAAGTATATATAAGGATTACACATTAAATTATTAAAGATAAAAGTCAAAACTTCCACTAGGGTTTCAGCGGAATAGTTTGAGAAATAAAAGGAGGGGGAGTTAAATTAGGATTTGATTTACATTCATTTAGGTTGACCCGATAAGCATTCAAATTTTTTAATTTTTATTATTTTTAATTTTAAGGACACTTGTCACACTATTTTTGCGCCACATCAGCGGTAAGCTTATACTTCCTACTCACTGACGAGGAGGCAAATATTATCCAATAAATTTTACCCCAAAAAAAAAAAAATCATCTTGTATTTATTAAATATAGCAATGGTGTGATATCTTAGTTGTACTTTTGGTGGAAACAAAAGTGAGTGTGCAAAAAAAGTACCACCTATTTATTAAATATTTGTCCGTTGGACAGGGACGGACCCAGCAGGGGACTAGGGGGGGGCAGATGCCCCCCCTGAATTTTTAATATTTTCATTTTATACCCTAATGTTTTTAAAATTTATGAAAATGCCCCCCCTAAAATTACAATTCGCCCCCACTGGATTCTTTTTTTTTTAGCATTTTATACTTCAAATTTTGATAATTTATGAAGATGCCCCACTATAATTATAATTTGCCCCACTGATTTTTTTTTTTTCATTTTATACTTAAATTTTTTTAAAATTTATGAAAAAACCCTACTAAAATTACAAAAATAAACCCATCATATAATTTTGTACCCACAAATTAAAAATTCACCCCCCCTCACCAAATTTTCTGGGTCCGTCACTGCCGTTGGATGTCTCTCATTTGTGTTTCTATGGCACAATATAAAGAGTCATATAGGTCGATAGTTTTTGTATTCATTTTCTTAAATGCATTCTTATTCAAGGAGGGCAACCCGAACCAGACCCATTGCCCCGAACAACCCAACACATCTCAAATTTCAAAATCTATATAAAACCACAAATAGGAAAGTTGAAAATAAAACATTCTTTTATTATTCCCAATATTTTAGTATATTAATATTCAAATTATTTGAAACAACAAACTATTCATCGAACTCTCAGCTTCTGAATTTTATGCTCTTCGTGTCGTGTAATCTTTAAGGAAAAAAGAAAACCCCAGAAGAGGGTACCAAGGTATGTTCTATCTGTAACTTCTGTCTTTGATTTCTTCATCTCGTATTCGATTTTCTACTCAATTTTGTTTTCTGCAGTTTAATTTTATATTACTGTGAGAATGATGAACATTGTGTGTTTGTGTGTGATGTATTTCGATTTCCTAGTTCTTTGTCTTTTAATTGATATCATAACATAGTTGTTGAACTGACTGATTGAAAAGTTTGCTTTATGGGCGCTGATTTGTGGATTAGGGCTTAACATCAACTGGATTAAACCCTTAATTTTTTAGGTGTTATCGTGTTCAAAACACAATGATTTATTGGCTTCAATTATTAATTAAATTAAATTAATGCAGAAATGCATTCCTACTGATTTCAATTAGGGTTACTTATGTATCTATGCATGCGCATGTCTGTGTGTTTATATATATATATATATATATATATATGAGATGGGGAGGCAGAGTCTAGGTTTCTCTACCTTTTATTACATTTTTATTTTTTCCTTAATGGGATGATTTTATATACTATGAAATAAAGTACATGGACAAAAGAAGGCATATCCCCTTAATACAGAACTGAAATGGAGAATGCCCTTTTTCCAAAAATACAAAATAACATTGAATGTAATTTTCTGGTGTTAGATTGTTTTTGTATACCGTTTTTAGCTAATCATAGTTTTGTGACAAGTTCTGATGGTATGTTGTATATACGTATGATTGTAGATGTCTAGTCGCACCAGCAGTGGTAGTGTCAACTCTATTGACATTGAAGAACTGTTACAGATTGGTACGAGATGTAAAGAGGTATGGTTCCTGCCCAATTCCCCACTTGGAGATATTTTCTTTCTTAAAAGTTGAAGCATCAGGACATTGTTGTAAGAAACATCGTTTTCAGGTTCAAGAGTCTGAGTGCCTTCTTTTGTTGGTTAAAATCTTTTAGTAATGTGTGTGATATATTTAATGCATATAGATAATTGTCACCTGCTTCTTTGTCGATAAATAGCTTAAAAAAGTAACCGTTAAAATTATGAAAAAAAAAAAGTAACCATTACAGCTTTTTCTTTTTCTTTTTTTCTTTCTTTTTCTTTTTTTCCCTCTAAAATTGAGTGACTTTACTACTTCTGCTTTGATTTGAAATTCCTGCGAAGTTCAGTTACAGTAATCGATGCATAGATAGACAAACCCAAGGTGCTAGTAGGAAAATGCTGGAATTGGTAAAAAAGTGAATGTGTAGAGAAAGTTAAATTGGCTGGTAAGCAATGAAATTTATGTTAGACCTTTGAATCTTCCTATCCCAATCTAGGGCAAAATTAGCAAAATATTACCATTTCTATAAAAATTGGTTTAACTGTGTCAGCTTCTTATTTGATTATGATGTCTGTGCTGTTGTTACGTTGATTGTGTTAGCCTAATGTTTCACTGCAGTGGCTGTGCTATTGTAGTGTTGCTATGTTGTAGATTTAATGTTAGTTAATTAGAGAGCTCAATTTTCATACTGATGAACTTTGCAATTATTGTTTGGCAATGTAGCTAAGGAAAGAGAAGGATATGTTGAGGGAGTCGCAATCAGAAAGCTTCGAATTGATCAGAGTAATTTTTTCTATTAATTGCTGCGCTTATGTTATTAAATTTGTGAAACATATTGCATATGATGGACTATGGCTGGTTTATTTCATCTTTGTGACACTTGTGGAATGTTTGGACAATTAGACCTCCTGCATAACTTGAATGCTTAATGATAGAAAACTGACCTCATAAGGTGAGTACAAAATCCACTTCGGGGAAGTTGGTGACGAACTGAAATAATACCAAGTCATAGAAACCTTGAAATCTCATTTTTCATCGTTTAGCAGTGGCTCAGATTTCCATTAGTAACCCTTTTATGGATTATTAACTTCAAATGTCATGTAAAGCCCATAGAGGCCATTCACGTTCGGTAGGATGTTTAAATGTGTCCTTCGTTGTATCCAGTTATGTGTGGTTAGTCGCACGAGCTTAGCTTTAGTTTCATTATTAGCTGTTATCTATTCAAAAAAGACTTATTTTTTTAATTTGTTTTGTTTTCCTATCAATTAGTGGTGCCAGTGTGAGGTTGTCAAGGAAAAAGCAACTTATTTCTTTAATTCTTTCTAATGTTAGAATTTGATGGATTCTCTTGTCTAAACCTTAATGGAGGGAAATGATTGCACTTTTAAAATCCTATTACTGCTACAAAAAAAAACTACTTGAGTTGGCCACTACTGCCTCGAGTGTCTTATTTTCAGCACATGTAGTCCCGAACCCTGATAAAGGAACAGGGTTGTGGTATGTGGATGGGTCAACATCGAACTTATAGTCGCATCTTATGATTATAGTTCCCAATATTATCTAGTTGGAGCCTTCCCTGCTAGTAAATTTGACATGGATTTAGCAAAGAATATGGCTTTTATAGAGATCCAATTACAGAAGATGGACCTGTATGCTAACTCCCAATTAATTGGGATTGATGCTCATTTAATTGAATAATAAGATTAGCCATTTGTCTTCTTCTGCTTCAAGTACAGAGGCAATTTTTTTTGCCTGAAAAGGTTCAGGATCGGCATTTACTTCCCCCACCTGTGTATAGAAAGTTATGCTGATACAAATTGTGAAAATCATATTGAAGCAACAATAAGATTTCTATGAAATCGTGGACTTTTTGGGTTCTTTGGGTCCATAGGACTCCTTTTTTAGTTTCAGTATTTGTATAGCTCTCGGGATGCGTTCCCCTTTTGAACGCTTTCTATTACACTTTTACTTATCAAAAAAAAAAAAATGATTTCTATGTAACAACCTAATTTTTAGACTTTGGTTGATGCAGAGACTGGAACAACATGCAAAGGCATTATCTGAAGTCCGCACAGAAGACAAGAGACACATCCATGATTTGGAAAAGGAGTTAAAGAATTGCTCTCAAGAAATAGGTAGTGATTCTTGTTGTAATTTTTCTTCAACATTCTTAGCTGCTTTGGTTTGCACATACCCGTGGATAGCTCTCTCCCTTCATTTTATTTGATGCATACTGTCACTTTTAGTAATTGTTAGTGCATGTAGACCGTCCTATTTGGTATGGATACTGATTGTGGTGGTGGGTGTCGACTTTGCAAGATGTAAGGAGTTCTAAATAATGTCCTCCAAGTCTCCTCCATCATCCAGGCCTCAGCAAACTATTTTGTCTAGGATGCAAAAATTCATTAAATTCTACAAAGATTATCAGTGTCATTTTCAATGTTCAACAGTCAGTTTTAGTGAAACACTTGAAGCCGAGAATTCTACCTAGCGTGTGTAGCTCTAACTTCAATAAACCCTTGAATGCTAAAGTTTATTGTAATTACAGTCTCAAAGTGACTAAGTAGTGAAGAAAATTTTCCCGTATCTTCTTTCCTAAAAGAAACCACAATGTTAATAGTTTAAAATTAGCAATGAACAAGTTTGTTTGTGTTTTCAATATGAGGAATCATTTTAGGAGTTACTGAGTTAGGGATTAGAAACAGTGTACTACGCTGCAGTACAGGTTTTAGGAAAATAATATATGAAGCTGTGGCCTTGTCAGTGAAATGGCTTGTGCCAAGTTGTCAAGAGTTCACCCTTCTGATGTTTCTTATCATGTGACACGTACGATTTTCATATCATTTTCCTTTTCCTTCAGAGTTAAAAAAAAGCTTACTTATGAGGTATATCTCTTGGCGCTTGTTAATTGATAATTTTATTTTATATGTGGGTTACAACTCTGACCTATTAAAAAAATATGTGGGTTACAACTCTGGCAGCCTGGCAGGATGCTCTTCTGTGTTTATGATTGTTTTATAAGGCTTAACCCAATTACAATATCCTCACAGATTACCTGCAGGACCAATTGAATGCAAGGAACATGGAGGTAAACTCTCTGGGTGAGCATGTACACAGTCTCGAGTTAGAACTTGCAGACATGAGGAATTTAGAGGAGAATGTGGGCAGGTTAAAGGAGGAACTGGAGAAGTCCACTTCAGAGCGCTTCTTGTTAATGCAGGAATTAGAGAACAAAGAAGCGGAGCTACAGAAGTCAACTTCATGCATAGAGAAACTAGAGGAGTTGAACTCATCTATTACACTGGAGTACCAATGTGAAATAGAGAGCATGAAGCTTGATCTCATGGTCTTGGAGCAGAGTAATTTTGAAGCTAAGAAATTCCAAGAAGAAACTGCTCTAGAAAAAGCTAGGATGAATGAGTTGATTCAAGATTTTGAGCTTCAGATTCAGGATGCACAAAAGGTTATTGAATGCTTAGATAAGGAAAACAAAGAACTGAGTGAGAAGCTTGAAATTTCTGAAATGAATGCCAGCGTATTTTGTCGAAAGATGGAAGAACAATTTGGAAAATATCTGGAAAACAGCGCTGGAGTTCAGTCAAGCACCCAGTTTTCATCAGGAGAAATAGAAAAAGATACAAGGTATGTTACATTATACGGAGTCTATGTTTATATGTGTATATATATATATTCCTTTTTAGTTTAATTTATAAATTTGGTACATCTAATAGACTGTTGTATTAGTGTGTGATATAAGAAGAAAGAGAAGCAGCATGCTTTATGGCTTGCATCTTGCTGATTGGCAACTAATATGCTTAAGCTACACTTTAGCAGATTTTCACAATTATATTTCCACCTTCAGAAGCATAGTTGTTGAGACTATGGGATTACAGCTTCTTTTTCAAAATTGGCCATTGCCTCCTACTTAGATTTGATTTTTGCATTGGTCGCGTATCAATGTGTGTTTCTCTTTACTATAAATGAGTTTTCAACAGTTGACTTAATCATAAAAAATAAAAATAAAAATCTGAGGCTTGAAATGTGGCCTGACCCTGGCTCATGCCAGTTCGGTACTTTGGCCCAACCCAGTAAGCTGATGGGCCCTGCCTGGTAGTTCATATTTTTCTGAAAATAAAACTTTGAACCTCAACGACCAAAAGGACAGTTTAGCAATGGGTTTGGCAGCTGAATATTTTCCCCCTCAAATTGTGATAAAACTGCTGAGAGTTACAGATAGAGAGAGGAAGAAGAAATCGATTTAGGGTTTTGGAGCTTCTCTCAATTACAGAGAACCCTAAATAATTACACCATTACCCAACATACCCCCTCAAGCTGGAGCATAGATATTTATCATTCTTGGCTTGTTACATAATTCTGAAAATTAGGAATTTTTCCAATGCCTTGGTAAATACATCTCCTAATTGATCTTTCGATCTCGCATAAGTAGTAATTATCCTTTTACTCATCACCAAGTCTCTCACAAAGTGACAATCCACCTTTATTTGTTTAGTCCTCTCATGAAACACCGGATTACTAGAAATGTACGCAGCAGCCTGATTGATTATCACAAATCATTCTCATAGTCATGGTGCTAAAAAATCTCATCTCTCGTAAAAGAGATATTACCCAAATCATTTGTAAGTTGTATGAGCCATTACTCTATACTCTGCCTCTGCACTTGATCAAGCCACAACATTTTGCTTTTTATTTTATCATGATACCAAATTACTTCCTGCAAATGTGTGGTATCCAGATTTAGACCTCCTATCCATTTGGCTTCCTGCCGAATCAGAATCTATGAACCCGACAATATTTATGTTTATTGAGGACTTAAAGACAAGCCCTTTACCAGGAGCTTCTTTCAAGTATCTTAAAAAACGATATATTTCATCCAAAAGAGGTCATCTGGGTTGTTGCATAAATGATTACCACCCTTACAACAAAAGTTATGTTTGTCACAATCAAGTATATTAATTTTTTGACAAATTTTCGTTATCTTCCCGGATCATCAAGAAGATTTTCTTCATTGGATTAAATTTTATAGTTGAATCCCTGGGATTATCACACGGTTTTGCCCCTAACATTCTTACATGCATACTTCATTGAGATATGCACACATTCCTTTCTGAGATGTTAATACCTCTATTCCCAAAAAATATCTCAATCGGCCCAAGTCTTTCATATGAAAATGCTTGCTCAAAAATTGCTTCAGGTTATCAATACCATTTTCATCTTTTAATCTTCACAACAATATCATCTACATTAAATGCTTGGATGATGGTGCTACTTTTGCAATGTCTCAAAAAAACAGTGTGTTCCATTGCCTTGGAGACTATTTTAACCCATATATACCTTTCTTTAACCGACACACTGGGTGTGTCTCTCTGTGAGCAATAAGCCTGAAGTGGTTTCTCCGTGTAAACTTCTTCATGAAGATCTCAATGTGAGAAGGCATTTTAAAGAAGCAAAAATGGCCTATAAGAATTTCATTGTCTTGATCGAGGAGGAGGGGCATAAGGGTTGATCAAAATGGCTTAAACAGATACTATTCCAATTTCTTTGTTCATAGTGATGGAGAATAGAGGCCTTCCAAAAATGCAAAATGACATAAGAAGCAAAAGAGAGAAGAAGAAGAAGAAATAATTTTATAAGCATACCGTTTAAGTTAAAAATCCTTTATAGAGGAATTTTAGAAGTGATTAATTGTGATTAGGTGATATATTCCATGTTCGATATTGATTTTATTGAACAATAAATAACTTTTTATTTTTATTTTTAAGTGCAACATTTGTGCAATGCCAGACGTGTTTTGATTATTATTATTTTGGGTATAACATGTGCACATCACCAAACGTGTTTTCTATTTTTCTCGACAGCAAAGAAACACAAGTACAAGTATTTTGCTTCAAAACACTTTCACAAAAACAGCAGCAACACCAAATGAGTCCCAAGTCTAATAGTAATTACTATACAAAGTACCTCATACTTATCATAAGCACTTAATATGTATATATTTGTAAATATGGAGTAATAGTTTCTAAATATAGTTATATGGGAAGTTGTATAAGGTATTTAATTTTTATATGTTTGTTTAAGACTTGTTATTGTTCTGAATTAACCAAGCCTAAAACGGACTAGGATGAAGCCTGAAAGGAGGGCTGATTAGCTTCATTGAGGCCGTAGCCCAGCCCAAATTAGGCTGTAAGATGATAACAAGGCCACCCTAGCGCCGGTGTGCCCGTGCTTTGCATCTTCTTAGCCAGTCTGATTCATTGACTGGTCAAAGCTCGCTGGGCTTGGGCCTGGGCCTCAAATCCTAGGGTTACTTATGTTGACTGCACTTTTTATAAATCAACTTTTTCATGTTGTGAAGATAACATGCTGTAGTAAATATGGAAAGCACTTGATTTGATATTATTATATCATAAACTTTTTAGTGAGAAACACGTATCGAAAATTGAATCCGAAGAAAGGGTTAATCAAAGGATGATTTATGTTAATTATTAAAATGAATGAGCATTCCAATATCTTCCCGCTGTTAGATTTTTATAGCTTCTGTATCACCCAACTTTAAAGGCCATAATAATGCTTTTCTTTTGACCATTAATTGCTAACCCATTGTTGAACCAAAAAAATCAAACCCTCCAGCTAATGAGATATTGTCAAGATTGCGTTTAGAATGAAGTGTCCTATTAATTTTTTATTTTCTATAATCCAAAAAAATATTAGCAGCGTCATATAGTTGTGCACTTGTCTGTCTAGTAACCGCAAAGCTGCTTCATTTGGTTGGTATCAGGAGATTCCATCTTCACATCGTCTCTAACAACGTACTATTGTTTTTGAAGCATTTGTGGGAACATTCTGGGTCCACTCCTCTCCAGACTGGCGATGATAGGAGCACCGGACAAAATTTTGAAGGACAAGATGGAGGAAATGGCATGCCAGATCCATGAATATGAACTTCTTGTGAAGCAGCTTAAGGTATGATCATATGACCATTCATGGGAACAAATTACATTGGACTGTTGGACATGACATGATTTTAAGAGATCAATTTGTGCACGCCAATTTGTTTTGTCGAATCGACCAAGTTTGGATTCAATGCAATTATGTCACAGCATAGCATGAAACTTCCTAAAGCAATATATATATATATGGTTTCTAGGAAGAATTGAGGGAGGAAAAGTTAAAGGCGAAGGAAGAGGCAGAGGATTTAGCTCAAGAGATGGCTGAGCTAAGATACCAAATAACAGGTTTGCTTGAAGAAGAGTGCAAACGTCGTGCTTGCATCGAACAAGTGTCTTTACAGAGAATAGCAGAGTTGGAGGCTCAGGTATGGGTATTTTGATTTGTTCACTCAAGCATTGGACTTTTACTCAAGTGTCTCAACTTCATTTTTCCTGTTGATTTAGATTCAAAAAGAACGGAGGAAATCCTTTACTTCCATCAGAAATAGCCGTGAAGCATAAAAAATGGCTGTATCAAAAGATTCAAAACAATGGGGGTTCAGTATTTACAAAATGTGTAAAGAGGTTTGTTTCTTCATGATCTTCTTCTTAATCTGTTTGTCTTTAATCTTTCTCTCTTGTTCTACATGATACTTATCCATGCTTCTTCTACATGATATTTATTTTTGGCCCCTTTGTATGAAGCGATGGATTTAGTTGATATGAAAAAAATACTAACCAGAGGACATGGTTTCTTCGTGTGCAAGTGTTTTGCATTTTTGCTTAGACATGTTTAATACTTGTCCATGTGAAGGTGCCTTGCGAACCTAGAAAGAGTAACACCTTTAATTGCCATATTAAAACAGGAAAATAAGGTGGGAATCACAAGCTGTTTTTTTACATTGGATTACTTATCAACTATTTCCATATAGCGTAGTTAGCAAAAAAAGCCTTTACCAGATGATGGGATCCTGCTTATGTGTGCGTGTTGAGAGGGAAAGGATAGACTGGATTTAAATCTAACTTTTAGCATTTATCCTCAAACTCAGACCTTTATTGTCATGCTGGGGTGGGAAAGTGGAGGAGTGGGGAGGGGGTTTGGAGAAATTATTAGCATTTATCTTCCATTGAATTGCCTTTCACGAGAGCAAGGCAGTCACGTGTCACCTTGACACATCACATGGGAGACTTTAAGGAGGTTGTGGTTTAGTGGACGAAGATGATATGTGCTAGCTACTTGGTTATACCACGGAAATTGCGCCACTGAGTTATACCACGGACAATACTGAAGCATGTGCATGAGGAGGCATCTTAGATTGTGGGTACTGGCTTCATGTGCCTGGCCATTACATGCGGCCTTGTCTATTATTACCTCTTACACTAATGACTAAATGTTTCCCGTCACTCTACACACTACAAGACAAGGGACAATGTTCTCTCCTTCCCCTCCTTTTTTTCCTTCCTCCAACATGACATTCGTGTACCCCTAGTTAAAATCTTCAACATAATTGCCGTTGCTGTTTACTTTGGGATTATTATTATTTTTTTTTGGCATTTGCTGGTGGGCTCTGGCAAGATGCTGAATTACCATTATGGTCAGTTGTCCTTACTGTTGGGGTGAGGAGAGACCCTAAGATCAAATGCACAATACACACATTCATTATTTGTGCTACAAAATTTTCCTTGCAATTTAATTGACATCAAATAGATGTCTATTGAACACTTCCCGTTTTTGATTATTCTCAAAGGACTGCTGACTAGTTGTGATTCCTTATGGTTGAGTTGAGAAGAGACCCTAAGAACGAATGTACAATTTCACAACTGAAAGCGGAAACATACATTAATTATTTCTAGTATAGAATTATCCTTGCAATTTAATTGACAGCAGATAGATGTCTATTTCTTTTTATTTAGTTTATATAATCAAGGACAACTATTATAACACCGTATATCGGTATATGCCCCTTATCCTAAGACTGCTGACTGACTGTAATTGACATGGAGTCATTTCCACCATCTGAGCCTGATTAGGTCTAATATATTAATCTCTTTTGTCGGTAAGTATAACATTCTATTAAAATTCTTTGAACTAACTTTGTCTTCTTCTTTTTATTTTATTTTATTTTTTAGTATCACTATCTCCTTCTAACCCACAAAATTTTGTACAATCCATTTTTTCCCAGAGGTTCCAGCATTTGTCCTGCACACTTAAATTCTGTAAGCAGCAGCTTTGGTTTAGACTTTAGAGGTGCTGACAGTTTCGGGTTTCTAACAGCTTCTGCACTGACTCTATTCTAAGCCTTTGACAAACATGGTATTGCACAAATGTGGTGAGTGTGAAATCTTGAAATGTTTTTGTTAAATTGCTACAACAAAGAGCCTCCAGAAGCGAAAACTTTCAAATTCAGTATATCAGCTGGTGCAGTTCTTTGTGGGGCCTCTAGATTATAAGAGTGAAGAAGTCGGGTAACCAAAATTGGTTGTCGGCGAACAGTAAATTGTATTTATGCAAATGTCTCTTGTTTGTTGTGATGTGTAATCGAATTTTTCTTGAATACTCATCAGCTTCCTGAAAACTGTATAGTGCAAAGAGTCCTGTAAGAATATATTTGATTATGTGCATCACATTGGATGTGGAATATTTAATGGAGTTGGAAATTGCCAAGGACTGCATTTGTAATCATCAACTGTAATGTTATAACAATTGCTTTGTTAAGTTAAAGCAGTAGTTGCTCTGGTTTATGTTTGAAGATGATACATGTAGCAAAAAAATTCTAATTCCCACTTTTTCTTCACTGATCCATCCTTTAGAACTGAACCATATTATATTTATAATTGACAAAGTTGAATTTTTTAATATTAAATACTCCCTCCGTTTCAATGGGTATTTTGAAAATTGTGACTCATTTTAGTACTTATAAATAATTGACAAATATTAATTTTTGAAAAAAAGTAGTTATATATTTCAACTTTGTCGATTACTCATACTAAAAGTTAGTTTAGCTCCTAGTGTGCTTGACTTGCTTTCCTAACTGTTTTCCATGTTAGTCCTTCAATTTGTTATTAGGACTTTATAAGGGAAGATACAGCATTTTTCTCTTTCAAAATTATCAAGATTTTATTTTAAATTTAAATATGTATATTACTTGGTTTTGAAATTTTTAAAAACTTAAAAGGGTAATTATGGAAAGAAAAAAAAAACATAATTTTGCTTTGATTTTTCACATGAAACATCCTAAATGGAGAGATAGATACAATTCGCGAATTGAAAGTCTGAATTGCGAATTCAAAAATTTGAGTTCGTGAATTTAAGACGAATTCACTCCCAACTCGTCTATTAACACGCGGAGTGTGTGACTGGCTACCCCCTTCTCATCTATTAGCGCGCGAAGTGTGTGACGGGCTACAACTTAGCTAGCAAATGGTACACTGACTACCCTTTTCCAAATTATACGACTTAGCTAGCAGATGGTAGACTTGATGGACTTATTAACTGATTCCCGTATTAGGAATTGTGGGTTGGGGGAGCCAGACTCTAGGTAATATAGAAGAAAAAAACACAACAATAATAGATGGCGTCAAGTACTGAACTATATACACTTAGCTTGAAACAAAATCACTCATACTACGAGAAAATAAATTTTGAAAGCAAACAAACAGTGTTTCATAATCTTATGAGTTAAAAATTAAAATCAAACAACTAGTGTTCCTTTTTCTTCTTTTATCATTTTTTCTTGTGTTTTTTATTAGAACAGTTTTAAGAAAAAGTTATCTAAATTGCCAAGAAATAGTTCTTTGCATGAGCAAGAGATCGATGTAAATTCACGGGTCTCGTATCCGGTGTGAGTTTTTCTTCTTTTTTTTTTCTTTCGAAATATACTATTTACAGATAAACTTTAAGTGTGATCCTAAAATTTATTGAAAATAGATAGTTTGAAAATAAATATAACTTGATTCTTTATAATTTTTTAAAAAATTCAAATTGGACCATTTTGACCATATCTTGAAAGAACAATTATTGTGAAACAAAATTTAAGTTAATTTTTATTGTAATTCTTACCGAAAAATACATGCTAATACTTTTAATTGTCACTTGCTAAATGATATTTGTATGACTACTTCTTGTATAACATACTAAAGTACAATAAGTATTTTGTTTTCTTAAAAGTTACGAAATTTTGTTTAGTTAAAATTATTTTGTTTTCTTAATCTTTCAAGGTAATAATGATATATGAGTATATATTTTAGAGGAAAATCAAAGTACTCTAAACATTATGAGAATTGGAATTTTGAAAAATAAAAACAATTCCTGAAAAAATTATTTAGGTTGCTTTTATTTTTTCTTTTCAATTTTTAGATTCACTTCTTGATTGGGTTGGTATTACCAATACTCAGTCATGGGAGTGTGGTCAGACCATAAAGGTGGGAGAAACCGGCATGAGGAATTTGGGAAGCACGAAAGTAGGGGTATTCAAAAAATTTCCGTAAATTGAAAAATCGGATCGGATCGGATTGGACTGAATTGGACGGTTTGGGCTAGTTATATAACAGTTTGTTCCAGGGCACACCACCCAAAGATGCAGAAGACCTTTAGCCAAGGAAACTACAAGAAGTTCACTGGGAAGTGTTTCATATGCGGCAAGCTAGGACACCAAGCTAAAGACTGGGTCCAAAATTATGAAATCGTAATTTTTCGGTTCGATCCTGGTTTAGGTTCCTACTGGACCAACCCGGCCCAGACCGAACCGTTATATAACTTATATTATATTTTATATATATATATTCTTTTCAATTTCATAGTGATTAGTGAACTAAGTCTATATACTTTTAGTCACGGCAAGAAAAAATTATGATAGTTGGGGACTTCAAACATTAGCTATTTCGTATTTGATCTTTATTGTTTTTTGAAATTTTGAGTTATTTACTTTTTTCCTTCCCTAATACCTCGTAAATGGTAAACAAGGAATGCTGTATTTTTTTATTTGTGGTCATTTGGTCACTGTCTGTTTGTTTTTTTCCACAGGTGCTTGATATTATTGATAATGCATATGTGATTGTTATTTGGTCATTGTTGGTTTCCTGATGTATTATATACAGGGAAAAATAAGAGAATTTATTTTTAAAAAATAAAATAAAAAGGAAATCAACTTAAACCGAGAAACCGAACCGAACCGAACCAAACTGGTTTTTCGCGGTTTGGTTTGGTTCCATAGACATTATGGTTCGGTCTGTTTTTAAAAATAGTGAAACCGATATAAATAGTTTGGTATCAAAAAACTCCCAATCCAATCCAAACCGAGCGTGTGCACCCCTACATGAAAGTATGTGTGTTGAGAGAGGAGTAAGTCCTTTTTGTCTTTTAACATCATCTTAATGTTTTATTTTTTTTCACCTTATTTTTTTTTTTTTTGAGAAGGACATTGTTGTCATTTTACTACTACATTAGCAGAGTCACTAAATGTCATTATTTGCACAATTTTAAAATTTCGGGTGTTTATTAACTGTCAAAGAGGTATTTGCACAAGTTTTATATATTAGGGATTTTTTTTTTTTTTCTTTTTAACTCTTTAACCTTCAAAAAATTCTTATAAAGTTAAAGTGAAGAATAATGGACTATTGAGGGAAAAAAAAGTAAAATAAAATGATAAATAGATATTTAAGTCCAATTATAATGAACCAACATTTTTTTTAGTACACTTATATTTTGTGGTATAATCATGATGATTGACATCAACTCAACAATAAGCATCCCTATTGAGGAAAAGGAAAAGGAAAAGGAAAAGGAAAAGGCGAGTGGTAATTTAGTAATTAAGGGCAACACTTAAAAAATGTACGGAGTACATTATTTATAGAATTAAAAATTTTTTAATTTTTTTTTTTCAAAAGCAGGACTTAGTTGTCTCATGAAAATTTTATGTCGGACTAAAGAGTAATTTTCTCTTATTTTAAATCGTTCACAATCATGACATGAGGAGGGCATCTTCTCACACACAAGTTCAAAATCTGCTTCCCAAAAAATTCGTAATCAAGAAACCCATTTAATTAAGTATCTGAAATTTCTTACCAGTTTCCTCCTACTTAACATTGTTCTAGACTTCTATTTGTACGTGTTCCCCTTCTTTTTCACATCCAATATACTCTCTTTCTCTCTCTAGATTCCATTTTGGAGGCACGCTTTATATCTAGTCCAAGATTATATCCACCCTTAGTGGAATCAAACAGGTATTTTCACTCATTTTTTCTTTTCAAATTTTTATTTAAATTTGAACTTAAAACTCTATAACCGTTAGATTTTAGTATATGGGTATGCATATACGGATAATGCCTGTGGTGGACACTTCAAATAACGACTATTAATCTTTTTTTACTCTTCTTGAAAGCATCGTCCGGTTAATTTGTCTTCATCTTTGTTTTGTATATATTTTTCATTTCATCAGATTACATGAATACAGGTTTTGTTCTTTTGTCTTGCTATATATAGACATCTACATTTGATCTTTAAGTGATCTTTTTCTTGGATTCTTAGTTCAGAATTTCAGGTACTTTTTGTTGATTTCTCCATGGGTTTGGGGTTTTTTTTTTTTTTTTTTAGGCGTGTTTTGTTGCTAAGGAAACTCAGGATAAGTATCAATTTTGTGTTTGCTATTTGTTTGATTAGAACAATTCATTCCAATTAAACCAAATAGATGTGTTAGTCACATACTCACAGTGGCTGGAAGTTTATGGTTTTCTTGGTCCCAAATCATGAAAAATTGGAAAAGTCCAAAAATCTCCACTTTTTCTGTTAATTTTTTTATTTTTTATTTTCTTTCTCTCTCTCTCTCTCTCTTGATAACAAATAGTGCATATGGCAATCTGAATTTGTATTTTTTTTCTTGTTGTTGGACATAAGTGATGGTATAGCTTAATTTGTATTTTGGCCATTTAATGTCTCTTGAGTTGATTTTTTTATTATTCTCAAATTATTATTCATTTTGACAATGGGAAAAAGTAAAGGAGCTGAATCTTAGATGCCCTTGTCAACTTCCATCTTCTTTCCCTTTATTGATTTAGGGTTTAGTCTTGGATCACCTTTTTTTCCTCCATGTTTGTGTTGTTTCATATTGGTTATATTTGATGTTTTAAAATATGGTGTCTCAACCTATCTTATAGTAATATTACACCTTTAACAGTGGAGTGGTTTCTTACTTTGGTCTTTTTGTTCTTTATTGTCATTTTCTATCCCTAACATAGTCTAACAGTTTGGTCTTTTTTTTCTTTTTCTTTTTTTTTTTTTCAGGCACATCGTGAAAACTCTTATCAAAATTTATTGCAGCTGTTTAATTTTAATTCCGGTTCTTCAACCCTTCAAGGGTGATAAAAAGTCCTTCATTTTTTCCCATTCAAAGATGCTTGGTCTTAAGAAATCTCCATTAAACAAGGATCCTAAACAGAACTCAGTTAACCCCGGTTTCCGCAATCCATTTGATTCTGACGATGAGTCAGATAACAACCAAACACTAAAACCCTCAAAGAAAACTTCTGAACCCAAGTTAGTTACCCCAAATTTGGGTACCAACCCTTTTGATGACAATGCGGAAAAAGGGACCTCCTCATCTTTGTACTCTCTCACTTCAGCAGCAAGAAGCACATATAGGAATGATTTCCGTGACTCAGGAGGAATAGAGAACCAGACTGTCCAAGAATTGGAGAATTATTCTGTATACAAGGCTGAGGAGACTACAAAGACAGTCAACAACTGTCTGAAGATAGCTGAGAACATAAGAGAGGATGCTACCAAGACTTTGGTTAACTTGCATCAGCAGGGTGAGCATATTACCAGGACTCACACAGTTGCTTCTGGCATTGAGCATGATCTTAGTAGGGTATGGCTTGTTTACTTTTCCAATATTATTATTCTATTGTCTAATATCTAAAAATTTATAGGTTTATCTACAAATGTTAGAAATATGCAAGTTTAGAAACATATAAAATGAACTTCCTAATATAATTAACCGGACATTTTTCTTACAATCTGCTTTTCACCAGTTAGTTTACAGTTTTGGGGATCTGCATGTTTTGGGATGCATTTGAAGTTCTAATTTAATATTTATTTGGTTAAAAAATTTCTGTATTGCCCATTTTCTTGGATGCTATGAACTTCAGTAAACCAGTGGATTATGACGTTTAGGACGTGCTTATAGAAATTTGATCAAAAATGCATCTCTGTTGGCAGTTGGATCTTTCCCTGATTCCTCCTAGTCACATTACTTGTATGAGAGGTTTTATACTTTAAGCCTTAAGGATTAGGAGAGAGAAATTTATGAGTGCATATACTTTGTGAATTGTGGTTATAGTGGGACTAGTACTGCCAGCACTAGTAGATATAAGTTTTTAATTAACTTCAATGTAACACCACTGTCATCACCCTTTGCTACTTAACCTCAAATATACTTTATGAAGTTTTCCAGTAAAAGAAAGAGGAAAGGGGGGGAAAAAAAAGACTAGCAGCGGAGCAAGCCAGCACTTGTAACACAATGAGTTGTTAAACAATGCTGCATGCATTGGGATTTATAAAAAGGTTTATAGGGCTTCATTCTGACCACATGCGCAGTTCCAAGGAAATAAAAAATCCAATACCATCACTATCCCCTTCCTGCCTTGAACATGAATCACAGGTGCCCAATCTGTGTGTGCATATATATTTCATCAAGAAATAATAATATGTAAGAAAGGGTCTGTAGGATACCCTGTAGCTGTAAAGGTTAGATATGCCATGATAAACAGATGAGGTTTCACCCATCAGTTGATGGAGTTGTTTTAATAAATTACTTGTCTAAAATTCTTAATTGATGGGGCTGGCTTTCATTATTTTACAAGAATTTATAAGAGTACATAAATTATCAGCATTGCTTACATGGAACTTTTTCCCATATTGTGGTACTTCTATACAAGCTTGTTTATCCTGTGTCTTCATTGTTGTGCCAGCTGTTGTACTCTTCAAACCACAAACATGAACACATGAATCAACCAAACCTGCCTAATTATATGATTTCTGCAGATGTATATGTTAGGCAGACATCAGAAATGCATAGAAGCTAGTAACATACATTCGTGATCATTTGTGTCTGAATCTTTAAGTTTGTTTTTTGCCATTTGAAGAAAAGATTTAATTGATCACACAATTTGGATGACTTAATTGCTCTAGTTGATTGTTTGAAACAAATTATTTTTTTTTGTAGATTTTTTTAAAAACAAATCCATAGTTTTTTAGTAGATCTTACTTATTTATTAGGACCCACCTTCCTTTTCATCTTCAAATTTCCTGCTTTTGTTCTGTACATTACTATTATTATTATTTAAATGAGTCCACATCTACTTCATAACTTCAAGGCACTTCCATTTAGTGATTTTGCGTGGCTTCTTGAAAGAGTTAATCTCCTACGCCAATTGCTGCATAAAATTATTGGCAATAGAAAATGTCATAACAGTTGGAAGATTCATTGTTATTGTTGTATGGTTAGCAATGGGATTGGAGTCCTTGCATCCATTAGATTTACAATTTATCAGTTAATTTATTGGACTTTGTCGATATACTTTATTTTACCAAAAGATGATGCAGTCTTGTTGAACCCTTTTTCGCATGTTTTATGACCAAAGGAGATCTTGTCTTTTTAAATGTTAGAAATAAAGGAATGGAAAAATATGATATTGTATTGTATTGAATGAAGATTACATAAAGGTCCTATATATAGAAGGTTTGGGGGTAGGTGAGTGATGAATAAGTAACCTATAGATACTAATATGGTAGGTATAATCATATATGGTAATTTGTAGTATGCAAGAACTTATGTGGTTGGTAAAGGGGTAAACTTGTAATCTAACATCCCCCTTCAAACTCAAGGTGAGTATGAACCTAACTTGAGATTGAAGGCAAGATCATGAAAGCAACCTGACGAAAATTTGGTGGAGATGGGTTTTCACCCATGATGCAGATGGAGGCACGGTTAACAGTTGACGTGGCACTACTGCTAGCATCGTTGCTGACTAATAGGGCAATTGTCATGGCAGGTGATGCAATAATATTGTTGACTGTGTCTGAGGATGAAAACGAAGCGGAATTCTGGCACTATTGCCGTGAAACTGCGATGATGTGTCTTGGAGGCTGATTAGGCGGCCAAATAAGGCTTTTGCTGATTATGAACTTGAGATTGAAGGTTAGGTGCAAAAATATAAGTTTGAAGGTTGATCGCCGTCAAGGATGGGGCTAATGGTGCCATCCCCGGCGGTGACTACGATAAATTGGTAGATTATTTACCAAGAGGTTCTGATACCATGTTAGAAATAAAAGAATGGAAAAATATGATATTGTATTGTATTGAATGAAGATTACATAAAGGTCTTGATTTGGGGGTAGATGAGTGATAAACAAGTAACTTATAAATAATAATATGGTAGGTGTAATCATATATGGTAATTTGTAGTATACAAGAAACTTATGTGGTAGGTAAAGGGGAAAACTTGTAAGGGATAATTCTACAAAAATGTTGTTTTGGTGATCAAATGCCAAAAAGGTGGAGTCAAAGTCAAGTTTTCCAAATTAATGGAGTTTTATGAAGTGCTGACATAGATATGGAAATTTACTGTAAATTTTCTTTTAATTCCTAAACTGCCTTGTTGCAAAATGACCTAACTACCCATTCAATTGATTGCCCTCTCTCTCTCTCTTTATCTCTCTTTATCACTTTAGGGTTTCTTATTTAGTTATTGTCGACGCCTCTTTGTCTCGCCATTGACACAGCCGAAGAAGAGAAAAATTTCCTACCAACGAATACTAACTCCTGCCATTGCTAGATAACACCGGCAAGTCACTCATTTTTCGATATTTTCTTAGTTTCACTTCTCGGCCATTACAGTATTGTAATGGGTGATTTGTCTTGGACTCTTGGTGCTTGCTTCAAATATCTTAGTTTCTTTCAACTTTGATTTATTGGTTGATTGCTTGTTTGAAACTGCCCTATTAATTTTCTTTCTTTCTTGGTATCAAAGCAAGCAAAGCATAACTAAACAAACTAAAAATTCAAACCACAATCTGCAATCATTTTGTGAATAACTAAAATTTAAAATTACTATCCCCAAGACCTATCCATCTCCTCTAGGTTATATTCGAAACATATATGCCACCCTCGTACCTGGTAAATGTGTAGAAATTTCACTACTGTCATAGCTATTACTCAGATTGGCTGAAGTCCCAGGAGGATTCTTTGGAGAAAAGTAAAAAAAATGTAACAGCAACTATATACTAAAAGGGGGTTAAAATATCAATGAGAAATTGACAGGAGTATTTAATTTTTTTTATAAGTGAAAAATTGACCAGAAGTCAATTTTTAAAGTTGGTAAGGGGTAGTAGTATAATTTCACAACAACAATAGGATGGGCAATTTGGGAATCAAAAGAAAATCTACAGTAAATTTTCGTGTCCAAGTCAGATGGTGTAGCTTAGGGCGTCAACCCAAACCCACGGTTTGTGATACCAAAAGATAATGGTATAGAGCTTTGGTGAATGTGGCCAAGTTTTACATTTAGAAATTGCCACTACTACCTTTCACAAAAAATATAGTTAGGGTAAGTAGGGATCGTCCCAAGGGATTGGTGGGTCGTACTAGGTTGAGGAATCAAGATTAGGGTTAGTAGCTCGAGTGATCAAAAGATTGGTTGGTGATTGAATTACATTAAGATGCAATTTAAACTAAGGTAGGAAATTAAATGTAAATGAGAGAAAATAAGAGAGAGATCTTGGGGTTTAGAGATCACCACTAAGCATAGCTTTTCTACACCTTTAATGAATGATTAACGAGGGAGAAAACACGTATTGCAACAAAGTGTGTGTGTGTGGTTGTTTCAGCAAGCATGGATGGCAAATTAAGCATACATTGTCTAAGCAACATGGTGGATAGCACAATATATCAAACTAAGCCATTAATCTTTTCTTTAAGCTCACAATCCAAACACATCATAAGGTTAGAGATATGTGCTACTTGCTTTCATAAGTATGGAACATCAAACAACAAGCATGGATTGTTCTCCCATTTAACATCTAAACTACAACTACACTACAATTAAGCTAATGACATGAAATTAAACTAAGGGAGAGGTACAATCCATCAAGAAATGAGTATGAACCATCAAATAAACCACAAGAACATTCCATTAAGCACTATGTCTTGACAATCTCTAGATTTATAGCATTAATACACATAGACATGCATCAATAACACAAGAAATAGAGACAAACATATAAACATCTATTCTAGCATACATAGACATATGGATAGAATGAAATGATCAATTAGAAGCATTAAACCATATAAATCATTGAATAAACAAGATCTATATATATATAAGTGTCAAAACATGTATCACAATATAAATCCCCTCAAAAATACATAAATCAAGATGTAGAAAGCATACTTAGGGCTAACTCTAGCCCCAAGAGGATGTCTAGTCACTCATGGATGGTGTCCTCCAACCCTCAAGGGCTAACTCCATGGTAGAGATTGCTCCTCTTCTTAGTTGATGGAAGAACTCCAAGCTTGTGTCTCTAGCCTCCTCCTTTCTTTTCTTCTTCACTCAGAATATCAATATTGTGCCTCTCAAGTATATCAAAAGTCTCCCTCAAAAAGTGGCTCATATTCCTTATATAGGTAGGTCAAATATCACCCCAAATGAGCTGGGCTCGTACACCAATATTCCTCCAATGATTGGATACAAGACAACTTTTAATGAGCTGGAATTTGGATTTTCTCGGGATTTGGGAAGTTCGATCGATCGAACTTGTGGTGAGATCGATCGAATTAAAGTTGGATCGATCCTCTATGACGACGCCTTTTGGATAAAAACAAATCTGAGATATTTTGAAGATATTTTTGGTAAAAGGACAAATGTAGTAGGTAGGGTGGTACAAGTGGATAAGATGGAATCTTTTTAATCAATCGGAAGAAAGTTGGATCGATCGAACTTTGTAGGATCTTGGATAAGGACAAGAGAGTTTGGATCCATCTTGGAATGCTGAGATCGATGAACTTTCAATCGATCGAATATGTTCTGAGATCGATCGAACTTGCTGAATTTCCACCACTTGCTTCCTTTTGCTCCCACTTTGCTCCTTTCTTTGATTGATCTCAAGATTGCTTCAATTATGCTCTTATTTAGCTGAGTTAGCTTATTTTGGAAATAATACAAAATCAAGCTAAAGCGGGAAAATAAGATATATAAAGGTTCTAGAATACCTAAGCTTAAAGGGTTTAATGCGCACTTTTCAGCGCTTATCTTCAGCATTTGATAAAACTCCATTAATTTGGAAATTTTGGATTTGACTCCACCTTTTTGGCATTTGACCACCAAACCACCATTTTTTTGGAATTATCCCAACTTGTAATCTAACAATAAAGAACCTGTTGCTAAGATCTCTATCTATTCCAACAATATATATTGTAATAATTAACACATTTGGCTCAATATTATTTCCACCGTCATCCGCTCAAATTTATCCCTTCTAAGCAACTTACTTCTATTCAAAAACTGGTTTAATTTTTTCAGTTCATCATATATGAGTAAATTCCAACATAATATATACGAGTGGGGACACATTTGGTAAACAAGTACTTGGATGAAATGACCTAGACTAAGAATTAAATCTGATTGGCATTTTTAACTTGTTAGCATTTTATTTTCGGCTTCCCTAAACTGATTGGCTATTAGTGTTATGTTCTGGACCTAGAAGATATTACTTCCACATTTAGGCTTCGTTTGTTTCGACGTAAAATATCTTCCTTGGAAAACATTTTTCTCTCTGTGGTAAAATATATATATATATCTTTTGGTGTTTGGCAAAGGTCTAGATCGAGGTTGAAGTCAAGTCATTGGGTTGGGCGTGTAAAATAACTTGCCGAAAATTGAAGGGTAAGTTATTTTTGCGATGTTTTAATAAAATATTTTAAGTAATAAATATTTTACTAAATTTTTTGACAACCAAACACCAAAAAATAAAAACATATTTTTAAAAATATATATTTTACATCCAAACAAATGGAGCCTTAAGTTACAATATTGGTCATCTTTTATCTTTGCAGCTGATTGTGTTGGATTACCTTCATTGATTTTTAATATCTGAAGGGAGACTTACATGCTTATGTTTGATTTTAGAGTGAGAAACTCTTGGGAAGTCTTGGGGGCATATTCTCCAGGACCTGGAAGCCAAAGAAGACTCGAGCAATAAGGGGGCCTGTTATCACAAGAGGTTGTATACCTTGCATACTCATCTCATTTGTTTACTTATATGCTCATCTCATTGTTCTTTTCTCTCTCTGCTAAGAAATCAAGTTGGATCATTTTGAATCCAGAGAGAGGGTGGACCTGCCTGTCTCTCTCTCTCTCTCTCTCTCTCTCTCTCTCTCTTCTTTCTTGTTTTCTTTTTCTCCTTCTAGATACAGTGACTAGGTTCACCAATCTCTCGTTCTTGTCTGATTTTCTTGTTAAATATTTCAGATGATCCAGTTCAAAGAAAGGGTAACCACTTGGAGCAGCGGGACAGATTGGGATTGGCTGCAGCTCCCAAGGGATTGTCAAACGCACAAACACCACCTCCCGAACCCACCAGTGCACTGCAAAGAGTTGAGGTTTGTGTTTATGATTACTATTATGGCAAAAAATAAGGTTGTTTTTCTTATAGTAACAACTTCTTCACTTTGAGATTCTTGGTAGATTTGCTTGTGATGCCTATCAGCCATTTGTGCACAGAACTGGTGCAGTCTTTGAATCCTGAGATCATTTCCTTCCCATCATGCAAAACAGATATTGCTCAGCATTTGAATGTGTGATCGCTTCGGTTTCTTATTCTTTTCGTCCCCATTTTTTATGACCATTATATCTCATGTTACAGATTCCTGCTACCTTGTCCTATGGAAATCAAAATTAAATTAGTTTGTATTCTTGATTTAATGATTTTCAATTAGGAAAAAGTTACTGAACTATCAAACCCACGGACTTCATTAATTTGCGATGATAACAGGTAGAAAAGGAAAAGCAAGACGATGCACTTTCAGATTTAAGTAATGTGCTGGGGGAGCTGAAGAATATGGCTATTGATATGGGAACTGAAATTGAAAGGTTAGTTGTTTTGATTCGTCACATGAACGTATACTCTCTCTCTGAAATGGTTTGTTGGACCAGCAATGTCTTAAAGACTAAATCGTGGTCATGGTACCATCAAAATTTATTTATAAATGTTGTGATTATTGCAGGCACAACAAAGCTCTGGGTCATCTTAATGATGATGTGGAGGAGCTAAATTTCCGCGTGAAAGGTGCCAACCAGCGGGGACGCCGTTTGCTTGGGAAGTAGAGCGCACTGCGACGCTGTCTAGTCTTGCCTTTTGACATTGGTTTGCTGCCTACCTTGCCTGCTCTCCATCATTTTGTTCTGCGTATTTTGGATTGACATAATTTGCTTTTCATGCAATCTTTTTTATGACATTGGTTTTGTTGTCCTCACCAATATACACTCAAAAAATTGAGACTGGATGTCTTAATAAGAATAACCGTTCTTGAAACACATAATTGTCCACTGTTTGCGGCAGATTGATAGCTCATACACTTGTTAAATATATGATGCCAACGATTAACACCAGGAGGGCTCTATGAACCGAGAAACGCGAACACCAATACACCCAAAAATTGCCTGACCACACTATAATATTGCCAGTCCTCTGCTTGATTCAGAACCTAAACCGACCTTAAACTCTTTTTAACTTCCCGGCTGAACTTTTCACACACGACGCTAGCTCATTGTTAAAATTGAGACTTTTTCCAAATTCTCTTACCATGGCAGCATTTTCTTGGCATATAAAACGTTGCCGATTTCAGCATTAAAAAGCTTTGTGAGTCTTTGGTAAAACCAGAATCAGCCACTAATGTCTTAGCCAACTTCAACATCTGCCAAAAAGGCGTGGCCAACGCTAGAAAAGGCTATTCTTTTGATATTTCGAAAGGTAAGCAAATTTTTGATCATTTAATGGTTAACAGCATTCATTCGGCTAATGAACTGGAAGGAAAGGATTCTTGCAAGTATCACAATTCTTGGCGCCCTTCCACTAACAATTGTGTCGTCTTTTGAGATGCCTTACTGAAAGCTATTAATGATGGCATTTTGAAATTCTCATAAAAGAAGCTGGAGGTCACAGGAATCCATAGTGACCCATTTCTACTGATGTATTCAGTTTTGCTCCGATCATCCCGAAGAAGATTAACCTGGAGGAGCAAGAATCTGAAGGGAAAGACCAACCGATGCTCTTTGAAGATAGTCTAGTCTCATATTTGGGTTATAAAGGGAAGTATTTCCCATTATTAGGTTACCTTTGGTTACTCCCATTTTAAATGATATTCAAATTTGTTTTATCCAACGCACTTAATTATTTTTAGGGGCTTAAATGATTATATTCTCCAATTCTTGAGAGCAGAAAACAAAGTAAGATGAAGACACAAAGAAAGTGAGATAATATAGAGTATGTAACCTATATGGAAAGTCTCATATAAGTAGGATTTCAGTTTGGGCAGATAATATATACGTAAATTATATGGAAAGTCTTATATAAGTAGGACAAATAGCCAATTTTGGTAAGGTTTGGGCAGAGCCCAAGTAATAACTGGGCCACTTATATATTTATTCAATGATTGCGACTCCGTTAATAGCAAAGTACAATTGATTTTTATTAGGGCCATCTAACAGTAGAGCCCAATTAATAGCTGGGCCGCAATTGTATATTCTAATTTATGTGCCCAATTAGTAGTTGGTGTGTCCTTCTAGTTGTTTGTTATCCGTTGTTCAGTGCATAAAGATTTTGCTTAGGAAAAACAAAGTCCCTAACATAGTGTTGCTGTTTGGATAAAATAAACTACATACAAGTCCTATAATAGGATCCACTTAATTCTGTCAATAAAGTTAGATAACTAGTGCAATGTAAGACACGATTTTGACGGGAGTTGTGGAATTCTAATAATGCAGCCAAGTTGAACCCACGAGTATTTGACATTTAGTGAACCTACCAATCAGATATTTATGCAAAAGTTTTTCTAAGCAACCTCAGAATATGATCACAATCAGTCCACCTTTGTGTTTTAAGCAACTGCAGAATATGATCATGGTTAGTCTACCATTGTGAAAGACGTAGTGTCTTTATACATCCAATTTTGTGTCGTATTTATATTAAACATAAAGATATACTTTTAGAATTGAGAGAATTTTAAAAGGGATAGATGTGAGTGGAAAACATTAGCCCATCACTATCGTGTAATATATGTGCCCCCACAATCCTATCTCACATTCTACATCCACAAATATGCGTTGATAATTTCAAGTTGCACAAAATCTACTAGACTATTGAATAGATAAAAACACGTAAATTTATAGAGCAACTTTTAATGATCAACACAAATTATATAGTTATCACAACAATCTAGCTAAAGAATATGGCTGTTGATCGCAATGAAAATAGGGGTCGCTACCAATCTATAGCTGTTAAATTTCTACTTTTAACATATCTCATTACTCCACTCTCTCCTCAACTACATACTACAAAGTATCAGCAGAAATAACTTGGAAATATAACTAGGACAAGACTTAAAAATTATAATAGGTCACCACTTGTATATAGATTTCAATTCTCCTTGATAAAAGCATATTTCAAATGCAAGGTCTGTATCCCATACATTCCATGTTTAAAGTTTTTTTCTTTGTGAAATAAGTATTTGTGGGGTCCCTCTCAAGTACTTCTCCAATGCCTTCTAAAAACCCCAGGTACACCATACTCCCGGTATCTCCCCGCCATCCATCAGGTGGACCCCACCACTACATTCGACCACTACAAGAGACCAAGAGGTATTCCAATCTACGCTTTGCCATGATAAACCTTCTGTAAGAGCTGATTAAGGTAATTATTGCAACAAATATCTAAAATTTAACGAGTAAAACACAGCAATTTCTGCAATGTATATATATATTTGGACAATCTGCAATGTACTTCAGAATGTGAACTTTGAGTGGGGAAACATCATATTACAAGAAGAAGAAGAATAAAACCCCATGTTTTAAGGATCTCCATTTCTTGGTAGCAACGAATAATTGTTTTTTTCCTAAAAACAAAACAGAATAATCAAAAAATGATTCTATTTATAGATTAAAAATAAATAAATCTACAGACAGCAGCAGGGCCACATTTTGGGGCAACATGAAAATACCTAGAATGAGTAATCACTTGCTTCAAATGTCACATATTACAAGGCTAACAAGCAAGCAGATAAAAAGTATTTAACTATGTTAGAACATGAAACACAGTCTGTCTGATTGCAACACAAGCAATTCCCCATCAGGATTTTTCTGTTTAATTGTTTGTACACAATTGACCTTGGGTTCTATATATACATCATTTTTTTTTTCTCTTTACAACTGTAATATAAACTCTAATGTAGCAAATAAGATTTACACATACATATACGCATATAATATAGCTAAGAGAGGCCATTACCCATGTCCCACCTAAGAAGGGTGCTGGGAGGAGGGGGAAGACCAAAGAGAGACCCAAACTTTTTTTTTTGATAAATATTGAAGAAAGTGGCTGAATAAGTGAGAATATGGTGATACTCATCAACCCAAATGTTTATCATTAAACCATGTAATGACCCCTATACATATAGCTATAAACACTTGCATTCATAATCTCTCACTACTCTGGAACTAAGGCACACTAAACATCTAACGACAGGAAGAAAAAAACACATCAATTCTGAAACTTATGCAACTTGTAAATGTAATTCAGAAATTGACACCTCTCTAAACACAAATGGTCACAGTAAGTATAAGGCCAACATGCGCTAACACACCCAGGTTTCCTGAACCTAAGCACAAGGCATAGTACTATGTATGGGCCTAAACGAATTAAGGTGCACGTATGGCAAAATGTATGTCAAATGAATTTCGAAATGCAAAACAAACCAGTCAAAATCAAAATAAGGGAATTTCCGACATCAATTTAAAGAATCAACTAAATCAATGTAATTTTATATTCTTTCCACTATCATATTCAATCAATTAAATTACTATACAATTAGAATTGACTCACAATATGCAACAGAAAACCAGTCCAATACAATTGATAATGTACAATAATACAGAATAACAATCATTAGATTTTAAGCATACACTGTGGTAAATATTTAGGATCAAACTAGACATATTCAGTGCAAGTAATCACTCGATGTAAATGAATTTCAAATACCGAATATGTAATATGATTAAACAATATGATCTATCTAATCACACAGTAATGTGACAACATGCCTTAAAAAGGAAAGAAAAAAGAAATTAAATGATTAAAAAATAAAGCCTTATAAAAAGTGTGTTGAGTACCAACTAGGGCAAAAAAAAAAATTGAAGATTTTCTTTCTAATAATGATGAGTAATCAAAGTCCACTAAAAGCGCCAAATGAAGATTTGCAAAAGGATTGTCAAACGATTCATACATCAATATTTAAAGCCAACTAACATTGTAACATGAATTAAAGCTTAGAGGGATACAAATAGCCTAGACTCCGATTGTTATCATAGCATGGGAAACCTTTATAAAGCACATTATCACGTGCTTTCATGAATTTTGAATTAAGCCATTCGCCTTTCTCATTCAGCCACACAGGATTGACATTCTGAGGGCAGGAAAAAATTAGAAGTTATTTTCATTTCTACTAATCAACTTAAAAGTTGACTGCCAAAGGTGTTAGTTACCAGATTTTCAAAGCATTATATTCTAAAGGCTCACAGCAATTTTTTCAATGAGTTGGACCAAGAATGACTAATCAAGAAACAATCCATATGGATGACAACAAACAAAAACAAAAACAAAAAAAAAAAAAACACAAAACACAAAACAAAACAAAAACATGATGTTATCATATATGAACTACATATCCCTGATCCACTCATTATGTAAAGCAGGAAGACTTGGGAAACATTAAATTGGCCAGCCTTTCTGAGAATTATGCATCCCTGGAAGTCAAATAGGTTTTGTTGGGCACCATGATACAAACATTGAAGATCCAGGATCACAAGTAGGCTGCCAACTGATGTACACATCGCATGACAATTTCTATTTCTAAAGGTATGACTATGAGTATATCAGAATATCACTTTCAAATATATCTGGAGTGAAGATGGAAACATCATGGACTTCTTACAGTAACCTCTTCTATTTCTAAAGGTATGACTATGAGTATATCAGAATATCACTTTCAAATATATCTGGAGTGAAGATGGAAACATCATGGACTTCTTACAGCAATTTTTTCAATGAGTTGGACCAAGAATGACTAATCAAGAAACAATCCATATGGATGACAGCAAACAAAAACAAAAACAAAAACAAAAAACACAAAACACAAAACAAAACAAAAACATGATGTTATCATATATGAACTACATATCCCTGAGATCCACTCATTAAGTAAAGCAGGAAGACTTGGGAAACATTAAATTGGCCAGCCTTTCTGAGAATCA